ATCACAGCAATGAATAAAACTTATTCTAACATAAATAATTTAGAAAAATGCAAAAATAATTCGGTTATTTTGGTTATGTTTGCTTAGCAAAAGATGGCAATAGTAAGCAAAATTCAATTTTCCATTTCAAGATAAAATAATTTATAAGAATATAATTCAATTTATGAACATTTTCAACATGATGAAAAACAAAAATATCTAAAGACAAATCTTAATGTACACTCTGTATGTGACCCTTTTACAGGAAATAAAAAGGTGGTAATTAAATTCAAGATAAATTGTTTTTTTTATGTTTTATTTATATAATAATCTGTAAAAGTGTTAAATCACTTTTTCTGCGCTGCTGCAGCAGCTTCGTCTTCGCGCTGATAGGATTGTAACAACTCTTGTTTTTTCGTAGCAATACGCTCTGCCTTACGTTTACGGGCTTCTCTAACTTTAGTACGACGCGCTTCGGCTTGATCTGAAAGCATCTCTGCTCTCGCTTTCTCAGCTTTCTTTTTATGAATAAATTCCATCAAAACTCTCTTGTTCTTGAACACGTTACCCTTGGCTTTCATGTACAGGGAATGATACAGATGTCTGTCAATTTTTTTTGTTTCGCGATATTTTTTCAAAAGTCTACGAAGGACTCTCATTCTCTGGATCCATAAATCCTATAAAAGACACACATAATTCATATTATATTTTATTATTTTTCCGTTTTCATTATTCCAACAAATTATTTAAATGTATCAAATCATTGAAATAAAGTGATCACAAAACTTTCTGTTTACCTTCTGTGGTGTACGAGCATTTGCTGTACCTTTTCTTTTACCAAAACCACAGTGACGTCCCTTACGTCTAGCTTCAGTATTTTTACGAACACGTGCTCGAGAGTGAACAGCTACAGGTTTCTTAATGATAAGACCATCCTTAATCAGCTTTCTAATGTTTTGTCCTTAAGTAAAACAAGAATTTACATATATCATAACCATACAACTGCTGATATTAATTTTCACGCAAAATACATACGGGAGTTTGTGTTTGCAATTTCGTTAATTTCATTAGGATCCAACCACACCTTCTTTTTACCACATCGCATAACAGAGGCTGCTAGCCTCTTCTGCAGCTTTAACGAACTGAAACAAAAAAGTGAGGTTATATTATGGAAAAAATTATTCACATTAACTTGACTTTTTGCCAGTTTAAGATATTATTTCTGCATGACTTATACAATAAATGCACTAAAACTGAATTGTAACTTATTAAATATAAATTTAGACAAAAAATAGTAAACTTTTATCATGAAACCATGTGGTCAGTCGTCAACAAATTCTCAAACATAAAATATACAAAATACAATATATTAAACTAAACAATAAATTTTCATATTAATATAAATTTCTTTATTGATACTATAAGTAATACAAATTAAATTTGAATTAATATAAAAATATAGCAAAAAATCTTTGAACA